CTGTCATGAATACTATTTTAAATGAATTCCTTAAACAACAGGATGAAAATAATTGTACATAAAAACAAAAGAGGTCAAGACACAAGAAAATATTCCAGATTTCTCTTTTCAAGGAAAATCCAATAAATCTCAAAATCTTATTTATACACTACATAAAGTACTTATCTATCACACTAAAAAGAAATCTCATGAAAAGAAACATGCACTCCAATGTTCTTAACAGTATAATTTACAATAGCCAAGATACGGAAGCAACCCAAGTGTCTATCAACAGACAAATGGATAAAGACATGGTGTACACACACACACACACACACACACACACTGGAATATTACTCAGCCATAAATGAAATTCTGCCATTTGCAGAAACATGGATGGACCTAGAGAACATTATTCCTAGTGAAATAAGTTAGAGGAAGACAAATTCTATATGATATCACTTGTATGTGGAATCTAAAAAATAAAACAAAAGAATGTATATAGCTAAACAGAAACAGACTCACAGGTATAGAAAACAAACTAGTGGTTACCAGTAGGGAGAGGGAAGGGGAGAAAAGCAAGATAGGGGTATGAGATAATACATATGAACTACTCTGTATAAAATAGGTAAGCAACAAGGATGTATTGTACAGCACAGGGAATCATCACCATTATTTTGCAATAATTTTTAATGGAGTATAATCTATAAAAATTCTAAATCATTATGCTGTACATCTAAAACTAATATTGTAAATCAACTATGCCTTAATTTAAAAAATGTTTTTAAATCTCACTTTTTCAAATCTACTTAAAGTTTTTTTTAAAAAAATAATTGCTCACTTTAAACGACAGCACCTAACAACTGAATCAAACTTTACAGTTTATAAGGTACTTTCCAAATAGATTCTCTCATTTAAATCTTTTAAGTTATACTTCAGAATAATATATTCTTTGTAAAGGAAGACATAATATTTATTTAAAATCAGAACAATAAAAGTGAAACTAATATTTAACTCCATAAAAATAAGAATAATGACATACCTATACTATTGGTAGAATTACACCACATAAGCAGGAAGCCAGTACATGTTAAATTTATTGCACCAAAGAGCAGTATCTTCCAGGACTGTGAAAAAGAAAATCATTCGTATTTGTACAGTGCTGATAAACTTCACTGGGATCATGCAAGTTGCTATGATTCATGCTCTGATATACAAAGGAATAAGCACAACTTCTTACAAAAAGTCGAAGTGCCACATTTTCTAAAAGTATGAAAATTATCATTAACAGAGTTATTATTATAAAATAAAAGCCTAAAACAGTAAATCTAGAAAGGGAATTATTCAAGAGAAAATAAATTCTGACACATAAACTCTGTTGAGAAAATACGCTGACATTTGAATATAATTTTGTCTCTATAAACATGTGTATGGAGACAATGACAAACAAATGGCGCAAAATGTAAAGCAACTGATGACTCTGAGTAAAGGGTATATGGGAGTTCCTTATACTAATTATGTAACTTTTTTGTAAGTTTGAAATTATATTAAAATAAAGTTACCCTGCCCACCCTATTCCCCGAAAAAGGGGCAGTACCTGGTTATCTACCAAATAAGCTGCATGAAAACAGGACTGCAAAAGAGGGAAAGATTATCATGGCTTAGAGTTTCACAGAAAAGGGAGGATCTGAGATACACCACAAAATAGTCAGAATTCAGAAGAAGGAGGAAGGGCATTCTATAAATAAAGGAAGAAGAGACCAAGTGAAGTGTGTTTTATTTTTGTTCCACTCCACTCCCCACAAAGGGAGATCTATGCTTATATGAAAGCAGAAGTGAAATAAATTAGTGAAAAGGCTGTTATCTGGAGGTGTTAAAATTAAACATGTAATTGCAAAGGTCAAGTGTGGTATGGAATAAGATAGTTTTAGAATGTAGATGAAAGGTGTAGGTTTAGAAAGGAAGACAACCTTTGAGAAAGGTGAGAAGGCTAAGGTGACTGAGGAGACAGAAATTGTAAGGCAGAAAGAAGTGACAGTGATGTAGCACGGAGCTAAGAGCCTATAAGTCTCTAAAGAGAAAGAAGCAAAGCCATTTTTTAAAATTGATGGATACTGTAGAGTAGGACTGGAAACTTAAATCCAGAGGAGAATCTGTAAAATAGCTGTCATGGGGAATGTACTATTCAATCATCAAAGAAGAGAACAAGAATTACCAGCATGAATTTGTGGTAGACCCGGTTCTGGAACTTCCTCTGCATCCAAGAGCAAAGCCAGAGAAGCACGTGAGATAGGAATGCTGGAGACTTGAGAATTGATAAGATAGGTTAATGGGACAAAGGACTCTAATATTAGTGAGGACATTAATAACATGACTGGACATGGGTCTGGTTAGGACAGGGACTCCTCAAGTCAGAAAAGGAAGATAAAGCATGAAATACATGCTGTCCTACTTCTGAATCAAGCTATTCATCAACAAGTATTTAAGTACTTTATAAAAGACACTATTCTATGCACTGAAGATACAGTAGTGAACAAAACAGGGATCTTATAATCAAGGCGGGGTGACAGACAATAAGCAAAAATACAAGGTCAGGTGGTGATTAAGTGCGAGGAAGAAAAAGTATATTAAGAACACAGTAATGGAAGATTTGGAAGAGTTACTCTTTTAGACAACGTGGTCATAAAAGACTCCTTTGGTGAGGTGACGTGACCAGAAACATGAAAGAGGCAAAGGTACTAGGTGTGCAGATACCTGGGAAAGAAGACAGGAACCACAGTGCAAATGCCCTGAGACAGAAGAGCACCTAGCTGAGAGCTAGACAAGAGAGGTGAGAGAGAGTCTGGGGCCATATCAAGTAGTATCTTGTATACCAGGAAAAGAATTGGGATTTATTCCAAGTGAGATGGAAAGTATCTAAGCTTTCATTTTTAAAAGATGATTCTGCTTCCCCATGTAGAATATGATGCATAGGGGCAAGGATGGAAAGTAGAAAGACCATTTTAATGTGACTGCAATAATCCATGTGGGAAATGATGGTGGCTTCAAAGGTGCTAAGAAGGTATTAGAACAGTCAGATTCTGGGTATTATACTGAAGACAAAGCTAGCAAGATTTACTTATGAAACAGTTCTGAGGGATGAAGGAAAGAGAGGGGAAAGAATCACTCCAAGATTTCTGGCCTGAGCCATTTAATGAGGAAGTGACAGAAAGTCAAAGTTCAGGCTTGATCATATTAAATCTGAGATGCCCATTAGATACCCAGGCGAAAATGTTGGGAAGGCCATTATACACAGGAGTTGGGAGGTAGGGAAGAAGTTAGGAACTGAGATATTAATACGGGGTCATCAGCATATGGTAGTGAAAGTGTCACCTGGATGCAATAAATATAAACAAGAAAGGCAGGAGTTCTAAGCCATGGGACACTGCAAAACTTAGACGTCAGAAAGATGAGACGGAAGTAGCAAAGGAGACTAAAAATAATAGCCAAGTAAGTAGGAGGAAAACCAAAAGTGGTACTTCAGAATACAAATGAATAAAGTGCTTTAAGGAAGAAGCGACTGATTTTTGACAAATGCCACTGAAGGTCAAATAAGAAGGGACATGAGGATAACTGTTGACTTTGGCAACATAGAAGTTATTAGTTACCTTGTAAAAGCTGTTTCTGTAGATAAGTGGAGACTGGAGCCAGATTGGTTTTAACAGAGACAGGGAGAAGAGAAAGCGAACAAAGTGAGTAGAGACAATTATTTTAAGTAGTTTTGCCATAAAAGGAAGCATAGAAAGAAGCAGCAACTGAGAGCAATATATGGCATGTAATTATGACACAAGGAGAGGAGAATGAATTAACAAGAAACAACAACACAAGAGACAGAAAGATCAGTTACAGGAATGTCATCTGTGAGAAGGCAACAGTGGAGGGATTGGCCTCAAGACAGCAGATTGGACAGTTCTTTCACAGAAACAGGAAGGAAACAGGGTGTTGGTAGGTGTGCTAACGACAGGATGTAGAAGTTTTCTTCTGATTATTCCTTTTACCCTATTGAAACAGGAAGCAAGATCAACAGGTTAGAGTGAGGATGAATAAGGTTTTAGAAGTTTGAGGACAGAAGTGACAGAAAATGGCTGAAACTATTATTTAAGAAAGTGGGAAACTGAATGAACTAGGAAGATACAGTATGGGCAGTGCTAGTTGCATACTTGACCATGAATTTAAAGTGAGACCCGCTGGCATGTCTGTGTGTTTCTTTCAGGCTACACTCAGTAGCTTGCATGCAGGTACAGAGTAGAAAGAAAGAGGACTTAATAAGGTTAAGGATTTGCCAAGGAAGTATATTAGACAGAAGGGGAGGATAAAGAAGTTGAAGGCATATGCAAGAAAATAAAAATGATGGACCACAGAGTCTAAACTGATAAATAAGCAAATGAGGATAAGTGAAGCAAAAAACAATGAAAATATGGCAGAGTCAGTGGACTGGAGGTCCTAGTAAGACTGACGAATTACTGGAGTTGGGGAAAAGGGAGGGGTGAACTGGAAAAACTAGAGATGGTGACTGAAGAGTAAAATGCTTGAAATTGAGACAATGGGAAGATATAGTTACTATAAATGATAAAGTCCACGGTATGATTATAGGAGTGGATGGTTAGGAGGGGGAGAAGGCGAGATTATCTGTGGTGAGGAAGTAAGGAACTGAGAGGTAAGGAGCTTCCACATGAAATATGAAATTACCAAGAACTAAGATAGGTGTAGGAAGAGAGATGAGCCAGATATGTCTTTTAAGATTTAAATTATGACAGAGATTATCTATACAATTCAAGTCTTCCTGTGTCAGTTTTGTTCCTACTACCTATTCTGTGCTTCAATAAGTGTACTGTTAAAGAATTTTCTGATTATTTCTGCAATATAGTTGCTTTCCATCAACATAATAAAGCTGTATCTATCAGCTCTCAAGAGATCATCCTAAATGGTCTAGATACATAAGAAGCAGATAAGTTTCCAATCCTGGCTCTTGAACTTTAACATTCAGGGATGATAGGTGTTTGCAGCCTCCGCCGTTGCTCTCCAACCCGAGCGCCGCCTCTAGCTTGCCGAGCTCCAGCCAAAGGAGAAGATGGTAAGTAAGGAGGTCTCTATACCATGGCTCCTAAAAAGCAGACCGCCCACAAATCAACTGGTGGTAAAGCACAGAGGAAGCAACTGGCTACAAAAGCCTCTCGCAAGAGTGCGTCTACTGGTGGGGGTGCAGAAACCTAATCGTTAGAAGCCTGGTACCCCGTGAAATTAGACGTTGTCAGAAGTCCACTGAACTTTTGATTCGCAAACTTCCCTTTCAGCATCTTGTGCGGGAAATCAGGACTTCAAAACAGATCTGCGCTTCCAGAGTGCAGCTATTGGTGCTTTGCAGGAGGCAAGTGAGGCCTATCTTGTTAGCCTTTTGAAGACACCAACCTGTGTGCTATTCATGCCAAACGTGTAACAATTACGACAAACAACATCCAGCTAGCACACCGCATATGTGGAGAACGTGCTTAAGAATCCACTATGATGGGAAACATTTCATTCTTTCAAAAAAAAAAAAGCTCTTCTTCCTGTTATTGGTAGTCCTGAACGTTAGGTATTTTTTTTCCATGGAGTCAAAAGGTACCTAAGTATATGATTGCAAGTGGAAAAATAGGGGACAGAAACCAGGTATTCGCAGTTTTTCCATTTTCGTTTGTGTGTGAATTTTTAATATAAATGCGGGGACATAAAGCATTAATGCAAGTCAAAATTTATCAGTGAACAAGTTTCAGCAGTTCAACTTTATAACAATTATAAATCAACCTGTTAAATTTTTCTGGGCAATGCCAGCATTTGGATTTTTTTAAAACAAGTAAATTTCTTATTGATGGCAACTAAATGGTGTTTGTAGCATTTTTATTATGCAGTAGATTCCATCCATTCACTATACTTTTCTAACTGAGTTGTCCTACATGCAAGTACGTGTTTTTAATGTTGTCTGTCTTCTGTGCTGTTCCTGTAAGTTTGCTATTAAAATACATTAAACTATTAAAAAAAATTCAGGGATGATAGTATTTCCAAATACTTCAATTACTGAGTTCTGACTACATTCCAAGATTTTAGAAACAGGGGATATAGTGGTTAAAAAAAGAAAAGAAAAGAAACGAAAAGAAGCCTTTAGTTTAGTATCACAGCACATGGTCAATCATTGGTACTGCTTATTATGTTCCACTGAAGCTAGGATTACTTAAAATCCATCAAATATTTACTGAGTGCTTATTTTATACTTCTATTAAAAAGTGAGCAAAAGAGATATAGTCACTGCCCTCAGGGAGCTTACTGTTTAAGACAATAATGAGAACAAAGAAAATAGAATAATAACTATGAGGTCTACACTGGTGACCAAAAAGGGTACAGACGATTTTTTTATTTACAGTCTTGAAGTATAACTTATTTTTCCTAACATTAAAAATGAGAAAACATGATTTCAGACCACATGCACTTTATTTGTTTAATAATGTAAGGCAATGCCTAAACAATTTCTCTTCAAAATTCTAGAATTAGAATAAAATCTAAAGTCTAGTTTCCTCCCAGGCAAAACAACTGTATAGCAAAGTATTGTTAATTTTACATTAGAAAATTACTTACCCAATGTAAAAAAATGACAACAGTGTGGTGGGATCAAGAGTGATTTCTATTTGTCTTAAAAATCACCTTTTTTCAATGTTATAATATTGTTTGTGCAATAATTAAAACTAGAGTTAATGAATAAAAATAACTTACCCTTCGGTCAGCTGCTACCAGTCTAAATTCCTGTAATAACTTGCCAAAAAAAGATCTTTGTGGTTTTCTGAAGAGATGAATTGTCCCCTTTAAAACAGACAAAAAATACACAGGTCAGCATGAAAGTGTCTAATCCTCTTCATAGTTCTGTGATATGATACAGTACTAAGAACTAGCATTTACTGAATGCTTTAAATATGCCAAGCTTTACATGTATTTATCTATTTAAGACTCACAATAGTCTATGAGGTAAGAACAATTTTTAGTAAATTGTCCAAGCACACAAATGCAAGTAATAAGCAGGAATTCAAACCCAGGCATTTTAGCTTCAGACCAAACTCTTTTTCTAAAATGGATTGGACAATTTAGAACCAGAAAAGCAAAACAGCTCTACCAGAAAGAAAATATTACAATTTACCTAATTAAAGCTTTATATATGAAAGGCTTGGCAACTATCACCACCGTAAAACCTCTGAGTTTCTCTCTTGGGCAAAGTATAAGGCATCTTAGCTAGCTTTTGTGGTCCCTGCTAGTACATAGCATGGTGCTAGCAGAAGGGCAGGCAGTGGGGTTACCAGTGAAAGAGACTACAGTGGGATTTACCACCCAAGTTTAGGAAACCATGTAGTAAAGCCCTAACATAAAGCAGAACTCAAGCAAACATAGGAAATCAGCCTGTGAAGAGGTAGTACCCAACATCGGTGGGAAAAATATGAGTTATTCTATAAATGCTATTTGGAAAAACGTGAAGTTGGATCCTTACTATACCTTTTACTCTTTTTTTATTATTTTAAAATTAAAATATAAAACTATAGAGTACTTGAAGAAATGTATGGATGTATAATTTTATAAGCTTGGAGGTGGAGAAGTTGTTTCCTAATAGGACATAAAACCAAGAAGCTGTAAAGGAAAACACTGATCAACTTTACTATATACTTTCACGATAGGAACACAATATTCTAACAAAAAGAAAAAAAACCTGGGAAGACAAAATGAAAACTTAAAAAAATTTTTTTAATTATTTTTTTAACTTTTAATTTATTTATTATTATTTTAAAAAATAGAAAACTTCTATTATTCCAAAATCAAAGAAACCTTGTCTAGGGGAAAAAACTCTTCACAATTTTCAATTGGTCATACTTAATAATTTGATTGCTAAGTCCCATATATTTAAACACTTGGATTTTAATTTTAACAAAATACTTTCCTAGATGGAAAAGGTCATAATTACCATAATAACCATATTATATTTCCATCCCACTAACGTTGGCCAATTTGACTAAACACTGAAGCTCCACAGACAGCAGTGGAACTGGGTTTCAACAAATTAAAAATGTGAAAAACCTCTCAGATCCAATTCAAGCAGAGGATGATCTTCTTTTAGTTAGCATCTAGAAACATCTCTGTAGTTATAAAATGGTATATTCCACTTCTTCAAGTTTGACATGTCATTAGTTGTATTATGTTGAGACTCAGGAAAGGCAGAAAATAAGGTGAGCACCAGAAATCTGGCATAAGAAAAACAGCAAAATGTTGATAATTGTTGAGGCCAACTGTTGGCTACATGGGGGCTCATTATAATATATTCCCTCTACTTTTGCATATGTTTGAAACTTTCCACGATAAAAAATCAAAGTAAAAAATACTTTAAATTATAAAAATAAAGCATCAGAAAAAGGTATTACTAATTTTGATATCCAAATAAAGACCAGTGTATGTGTGTAACCCTAAGGCTGTGCTCAGCCAATTCAGTTTAAAAGGAACAATACGCTATTTTCCTTTGAGATGTGAACAAATGGCTAATGTTAACAAATATACTTTAGGTTTAAAGTATTATGTGTGGGACATTTTGGCCCCAAAGATAAATTATGCTTAATACTGGTATCCTTGGATATCTTCTAACTTCAGCCCAGTTTAAATTTTAAGTTACTTCAAGTTTTAGGTTAAGACAATTGGTAAGGTTTCTAAAAGGCCAAGGGCCATATCTGATGTCACTGTGATACTGAGGGGGGAAAAAACACAAAAATCCTAACGTTCATGTCCCTCTTTCCAAAATTACATTGGCTCTCCATGGCTGTCAGGATAAACTCCCAACTTTACAACCTGGAATTCAACTTAGCATCAGTTTCTTTCCCATTTTTTCTCTTGCTCCAGATAGGAATCCTCAAATTCAACTAAACTGTTGTAATCCATGTCTCATGATTATACCACTCCAGAGTGAAAGGCCAGGCCTGTCTAATCCAAGCTGTAATACCCTATAGCACATAGCAAGTTACTTGACCTCTCTCTGTTTCCTCATCCAAAAGAGAATAATGAGTAGCAGACTGAAAGCACTGGAGTAAGGGATAAAGTACTCAGTTTTTGGTTAAAACCTATATGAAGCCTTACTAGATTATTCCAAACTACAGTGTTTTTTATGCCACTTGCTTTATAATTAACAGTAGAATAGCCTTCATTTCATCACCCTGCATGGTAAGTTAACTTTTCAGTAACTTCACTGATGACAAGGGGTCTATTTTCTTTACATTTTCCAAGACAGCACTATGCATTGCACATTGAATGTTCTCAATAAATAACATATAGTGGGTGACTCATGAAACCTTTCTTCATCAAAGCTTTAAAAAGAAACCTTACTGGCCACTATTTCCCTTATTACTAATGTTTCAAGTGTAAAAATTTAGTGTCACAGTTACATATTCAGTGTTTTATAAAACAGGTATTTATTGAAAACTTCCTCTGGGCCAAGTACTATACCAAAGGTTCTGGGAATACTAGTGAATGAACAGGTCCTTCTCTCAAAGAGCTTACAGACTAGGACAAGCAAGTAAATACATATTTTAGCAGTCTGGTAAGACTCCAGTTATTGGTAAAAATCACCCTACAGGAACGTAAAGGCGGCACCTAATAGGCTCTTGAGACATGGCAGAAAGGCTCATGAAAGAGGCTACAGAGCATGTCAGAGTTATATTAATAAGGACAGAAGGTGGAAGGAGAACGATTTTGGCAGGTAGAAAAGCATATATTAGGTGCAAAGGTCTAATTCTTACAGCACGACCTACAAACTGTTCACTGTAGCTGGAATACGGATATATGTATGCACGTGGAAGGCTGTAAAGATAAGAAGTTTGACTACAAATATCTTTGTATGCCATACTAAATAGGACTTTACTTTGAGGACTACAGAAAAAAAACAGAAAGATTTTAGGTAAGGAAGTAGCATGTCAAAATTTTAGAAACTGAACCTTGGCTACACAGTGGTGAATGTTTTGAAGGAGAACATAGCGAGAGGCTATCTGGTCAGCCCAAAAAAGTAAACTTTCACTCACTTTGTATGTAAAGGAAAGATTACAGAAAATTTACAAAAGATTTAAAACGTATGTGAATAAGAAATTTTTTCGACCATATCCACTCAAGGAAAAACTTAATAGAGCGACAGTGCTTAGGCACAGAAACGTGGTCCTTTTCTCATACGCGAGCTATCAATAACAAATTCATGAATTTTTCTGATAAAACGGTTTGTACCTCTTTTGACACTGAAATCACACTCAACTGCTTATCTTTGAGTAAAAGTCAGAGAGCTATACAATTTATTCCTAAAGGCATAAAGTGACTAATTCTTCTGACAAAATTTAGATTAAACACTATATTCCCCCAAACCATAAAGTATACTGGGATCTGCAAACGCACAAAAAGCTGCAATAAGAGGCTCTATTAACACCTTGACTTTCACCAGTCTCTGGCCTTCTGAAAGCTGCTGCCGTGCCCGGCTATCTGCACTCAACAAAGCCAAGCTGGAAAGTGGGGCGTCAGCCTCAATATCGTAACTCATCACCCTCTTCATTTACGCCAGCGTTGTCAATGCTGTAAGCATCACTATTACGGTCGTTGTTGTGGAGTTTTTTTTTCTTTCAGATATTATGTTGGTGTAGCAGTCGCTCAGACCAGCAAAGACTTTTATTTCTATACCGAAAATATCACGGCAGGGAAGAGGCATAAACTCGCCCAGGGTCGAACGCTCGGCCTGCAGCGGGGTCCCGAGCCGCAAAGGAACCGGGTGAGGGAGCGAGGGGGCACCAGAGCTCTGAGGAGTCTCTCTCAGACACCAGCCGCTCCTCCCGGGGAGCCCAAGCATAACTCCAGAGACCCCTCGTCTGCGAAGCTGAGGCACTACAAGGCCGCTTCAGGACGAGAGAGCATAAGAGAAATCACAACGAGAGAAACCCTCACGCCCCTGGCCAACTCACCATGGTAAGGAGCTGCACGGCTCCCGCCGGAAGATGCTCTGGGAGCTGGTTTTTTTTTAGAGCGGAAGGGGTGGGGCATCAGAGGCCGATTGGCTGCGAACGACGCGGGGGCGGAAGTCCGTGCACTAACCTCCGGGCCCCGCGCCCCCTTCCCGGCTGCCCCTGCGTTCTATAGAGGCGAAGGCGGCGGCTAGAGGGACTCTTTCGAGCTTTACGCGGTCTGGAAATGTAGCTGGGCCTTGAGGTCCTTGTCAAGGAGCAAGTAGGGGTTGTTTGTAATGTTAGGGAAATTTCTTTGAGTCCTGAAGCGCTTTTACCTATGTTTTGGTACTTAGTTTTTGCAATACCTTATGAAACAGCTTTCCCATTTTTCAAGTGAGGAAACGATAAAGAAAATTGCCCTATAGGGCGAGGATATAGCTCAAGGTTAGAGCATATGCTTAGCATGCACAAGTTCCTGGGTTCAATCCCCAGTACCACCTCTAAGAATAAATAAGTAAGCAAGCCTAATTACCTACCCCTCAAGAAAAGAAACTGGCCCAGAGATACACATCTGTTTTGCCGTAGTAACTGAATTTGAACTCAGACCAACTACAGAGTACCATGTTCTAATTCCTAAAATACGTCTTACATTCTATGAGATTAATTTTATTTTAGAAAACGGAAAATAAAACACATGGATATAGAATTCATTGGGCAAAAAATGAATATCGCGCATGTGCGTGTATGGTACTGATCTCATGAAAATTATATTCTAGTAAGAAGGGACAAGTAGGGAGAAGGAAATTTTATAAATATATTGATAAGTAGTGTAATTTAGAAAATAGGGTAATGGTATAGAGATTAACTGGGTCGCTAATTTAGAGTGGTAGTCAGAAAAAGCTATAAAGGTTTAAACTTGACTTCCAAATGACAAAAGTCCTTTTGTAAAGTTTTTTTCTAGGCAGAATAAATAATGCAAATACCTAAGTAAAACAAGCAGGGGTGTTTTCAGATCTGAAAGTAGGCAGTATGTCTGGAGCTTTGTGTTTGAGGGGAAGAAATGAAGAGATCTAGGTGTTAAGCAGGTGCCAGATCAAGCAGGAATTTCTAATTGGGGTAAAGAGCTTAGTTTTTGTTGTTGTTGTTTTCTAAGTAAGACAAGTGGACAGTTTTAATAAGGGAGCGACCTTTTACATTTTAAAAAGATCATGGTGGCTGTGTTATGAGGAATAGATTATTAATTTAACGTTTACTAAACACTCATGTGGTAGGCACTATTAGTAAAATCTTAAAATGTATTAACTCATTTAATCCTCATAACAGCCCTTTGACATAGGTACTGTTGTTAGACCCTGCCTAGAAAATTGTGTACCAAAGTCACACACCTTAGTGAAGGGCAGAACTGGAGTTCTGTATTACACAGCCTAGTTTTAAAGCCTTGCTGCTACTCTGTACTTACTACTCCTGGACAAGATTAGAATCAAGAAGGCAAGTTAGGACATTATTCCCTCATTAACCCCTAGCAAATCATTCTTGATTTTTGAAGATTTCTTTCCAGTCTTTTTGATTTTAACAAACCTGGAATCAAACAGTACATCTTATTTATAGTGTGTCTACTTCATTAAGGATACATTGTGCCTTTTTTCCCATGTCTTAATTTTTCCAGAATTATCATTTTAATGGCCTTAGTGAATTCAATCTTAGGCATGTGCCTTAATATATTTAACTAATTCATTATTGATGTGTAGCAAAAATAAGACTCTCAAGCTATATTAAGAAGAAAAAAAATCTTATACAGGGAGTTGGGTGATTGGTATAAAATCATAGGAAACAACTAAAAAGAATTCAACAATGAAATAGAAGACTTGAGCAACACTATATACATATTAGACTTAACCTATATCTAGAATACACCATCCAACAACAGCAGAGTACATGTTCTTCTCTGGTGCATGTGCAGCATTCCCAAGATAGAGTATCTGTTAGGCCATGAAATAATTTTCAATAAATTTGAAAGGATTGAAATCATAGAAAGTATTTTCTCCAGATATACTGGAATGAAGTTAGAATCCATAACAGAAGGAAATTTGGGATATTCCTGTCTTGTGGAAATTAAAAAACATACTCTTAGTCAATCGATCAAAGAAGAAATCACAAGAGAACTTAGAAAATACATTGGGATGAATGAAAATGAAAACAACATCCCCAAACTTATTGGATACAGCAAATGAAGTTCTTAGAGGGAAATTTATAGCTCTAAATGTCTATATTAAAAGAAGAAGGAAGATCTCAAATCAATAACCTATCCTTCCATCTTAAGAAACTAGAAAAAGAACAGCAAACTTAACATGAAGCAAGCAAAAGGAAGGAAATAAAGTTTGGAGAGGAAATAAATAAAATAGAGAAAAGCAACAAAACCAAAAACTGATTCTTTGACATTGCAACAAAACTGACAAAGCTTTACCTAGACCAAGAAAAAAAAAAGACTCAAATTACTAAAATCAGGAAAGAAAGAGAGGGACATTACTATTGATTTTACAGAAATAAGGATCATAGGGAATATTATAAATAATTGTATACCAACAAATTAGATAACCTAAATGAAGTGGGCTAATTTCTATAAAAACACAAACTACTGAAAATGACTCAGGAGGAAATAGAAAATCTGATTAGACATACAACAATCAATTAAATTAAACAAACAAACAAAACTTTCTACAAAGGCCCAGGCAGAGATGGCTTCACTGGTGAAGTCTGCCAAACATTTGAGGATAGAATTGGCACCAATCATCCACAAAATCTTCCCAAAAAATAGAAGAGTAGGGAACACTTCTGTACTCATCCTATGAAGCCAGAATTACCCTGATACCAAAACTAAGCAAATGTATCATAGAACTACAGACCAATATCCCATATGAATATAGATGCAAAAAAACTCAACAAAATATTAGCAAAATGAATCCACCAACATATAAAAGAATCATACACCATGAATGAATTGGAATTCACAGAAAATGCAAAGTAGTTTCAACATATGAAAATTAACAATGCAATACACCATATTAATAAAGATCAAAAGCTGCACAATCATCTCAACAGATAAAGAAAATCACTTGACGTATCCAACACCCTTACCTGCAAAACCACTGAACAAACTAGGAAAAGAACTACAGACATAGGTTCTTGTGCTGAATAATTAGACCTAGCAGTTTGGAGGTGAACTATTTTGTAATTAGACCTAGATCTTTGTATGAAGTTACTAGACTTAGTTTTGTTTTGAAAATTTTTTTGCCATTAATCTGCTTATTCTCTTTATGGTTACTTTTGCTAGTTATCTCTATTACGAAACTTGTTTCATGTGTTTCGTTTATATTGTATTATCGATTCTTTTTATGAAGTCTTTTTTACTTAAATTGAAATAGTCAGTTTACAATGTGTCCATTTCTGGTGTACAGCATGTTTCAGTCATATACATACATACATTTGTTTTCATATTTTTTCATTATAGGTTACTACAAGATACTGAATCTAGTTCCCTATGCTATACCCAAGAAACTTGTTTTTCTATTTTATATATAGTAGTTATTATCTGCAACTTTCGAACTCCCAGTTTATCCCTTCTCACTCCCTTTCCCACTGGTAACCATAAGATTGTTTACTATGTCTGAGTGTTTCTGTTTTGTAGATAAGTTCATTAGAGTCTTTTTTCTTTTTTAAGATTCCACATATGAGTGATATCATGTGGCATTTTTCTTGCTCTGACTTACTTCACTTAGAATGATTTCCAGGTCTATACATGTTGCTGCAAATGGCATTATTTTATTTTTTATGGCTGAGTAGTATTCCATTGTATAAACTGAATTTGCCACTTTGAGCATTACATGCCAATTATTTTGTACAATGCTCCTGGAATATTCACATTATGCATCTTCGACAGGAATAGCACAGAATACTGCATTTTCTCATTGATCCTATTATGTGAAATATGGCCCATTAATGATAACTTTCCTCACTAGAGTATGGTGGTATCTGTCAAGTTTCTCCAGTGTAAAGTAACTGTTTCTCCCTAAGTAATACTTTGTGGGGATGTATTTTGAAACCGTGTAAATATCTCATTCTTCATCACATTTTGAATTTATTCTTGCGTTCATGTATATATTCATATTGGCTCATACTTTCTTATTTGATGGGTTACAGTCCATTACTATAATTACTTATTTAGATGCTCAAAATTGTCCAGTGAGACCTCCTCTAATCAGTCAATAATTCATCCTCTTCCTTGTTTAAGCACTTTCTTTTCTGGCACAAGATATTCTGGGTCATCAGGTATTTTCTTTGACCTAAATCTGGAATTGGCCATTTCACCAAGGAGCCCTGGTTCCTTAAGTGAGTATTATGGACTGAACGTGTCCCCTTAAAATTTGTATATTGGAACCCTACCCCACAATGTGATGGTATTCGGATATGTGCCTTTGGGAGGTAATAAGGGTTAGATGAGGTCAAAGTGGTGGGATCCTCATGATGGGATTACTGTCCTTATAAGAAGAGACATCAGAGAGCTTGCTGTTTCTGCCATGTGAGGACACAGCCATTTGCAAGACAGTGAGAGCTCTCACCATAAACCACATTGTCAGCACCTTGATCTTGGATTTCCCATGCTCCAGAACTGGGAAAATAAATTTCTGTTGTTTAAGCCACAGCTTAAATTATTTTTGTTATGGCAACCCACACAGGATAAGATTCTGGTACCAAAAGTGGGGTGTTGCTTTTTCTTAGGTCAGTTTCCCAAAGTAATAGAAATAAAAGCAAAAATAAACATATGAGACCTAATCTAACTTATAAGCTTTTACAAAGGGAACCACAAATAAAACAAAAAGACAAAGTTTCAGATAAAAAAAATCAAAGGCAAAATAAAGTTTATAATTTATTTCCAATCCATTAGGATAAAAACTCACTTAATGTAGCTGAACCTTTTAATTCATTTCTTCTGAAGAAAAGTACAAAAGACCAGAGTAGAACTGAGACAACCATTTAAAGGAAAATCCTTCGACTCAGAGTCCAAAAACAAACTGTAAATGGTTCATTCTACCAAAAGAATTAGTTTTTGTACAAAATATAATGAATTTTACACTATAAACAAAGACTGCTGTATATTTACTTAAATTAGAATTCTAGTACCTGCTTTTCCTCTAATTCTTCCCAAGCACAAAGCATATATGCAGTCGCAAATCTAATAACCTCAACTGGCAGACTTAGAATAAGCTTTTACCCTTAAGATATTTGAAAAGATGGTATTGATTCTTTCCCTTGACTCAAAGTCCAGTACATCAATACGTTTTAATTTAGTTTACAAAACTCTGCCATATTAACATGAAGAGCACACTAACGTTTAAACATTACGTTCTACGAAATAACGTGACACAGCTCAGTGCAAAATCTACAAGGTCAAAATCTAAGTCTAATATTAGTTTGGAAAACCTCAGCAACTTCTATCTTTATTGAAAAAGACCAAACCAACCCCTACACTTCCTACTATATA